TAGTTTGCTCCCCGATAATAATACTTGACATGTGTTACTGGATGGTGAGTACCACCCCCTCTTCCGCTCACACTCGACCCACCTTCAGCCATCCATCAGTTCAGATGAGAGTCCGAAAAGTGTCAGCTGTGAAAGTGTTTCCATGGCCGACATTTATTTGCAATTGGTTTAAGTCTGGCACTGGAAGAGGAAATTCATTTCGAGTGGACCACGAGGGGCGGTTTCAATGAGTTAATCACTGCTGAGGGGAAATAATGCGGGGTCACTATTCTGGTAAAATAACTTGAGAGGTCTTGAGTTCCCAGAAACTGGTTGGCTTTACGGAAGGCTATTTAAAAGTAGATACAGATACCTGTCTTGGGAATGCACCCATTTTATATTAAAAGTTTTTAATAACAATATACTATCTAAGTACAATACTAAGATACTGGGGTTTTCAAGCCTGCGAAGGAATTACACATTTTCTAGGGCCTCAGTTTCAACAAACTTTCTAGGTCATATGAGGTAAGACCACTATCTTGGCAAAAGTGAAATCCGCCAAAACAAATATGGCACTGAGCTGGCATAAGTCACGGGGGAATAAAGCTAACCCAAGCGAACTCAGCCATGTCAGCCGCATCGTACTGATCAAAAAACAATTTCTCTTTCAGCGTGTTTATAGCACTTTTGTGGAAGTGGAACTGGCACTGACGATCGGGAAGATTATCACACGAGAGCGTCGAAAATGATTCGCAGTTTCGTGAATTTTACAAATAAATACAAAATTATCCGGGGCATGATATCATATGGCACCCTCTGGCCCTGCGGATCGCTCATCGAACAGACCATGATCGAGAAGAAGACATTCCGAACTTACGACTGGATGAAGTGTGTCAGGTGCGTCCCATGGATCTTGGCCCGGCTCGATTGCTAATTGGCCCCGATGTGGCTTGGCTAATTCCGTTGCAGGTTCAGTTTATTCGGCTTCTTTTTCATGGGGCCGACCATATATGTGTGGATCAGACTGGCGGGCGTTATGTGGCCGCGAACCGATATTAAGTCATCACTCTGCAAGGCGATCACCGAGCAGACTGCATATGATCCTATGGCCATCAGCTCGTTCCTCTTCTTTATGACCTTGATGGAGGGCAACTCGTACGCGGAGGCCAGACGGGAGGTAAAGTCACTTTTACCTCATTCGAGGCTTCACCTCAGGATTTCCATTTCATTCATTCTCTGGTTAATAACTCCTCAACTAAGGCATGCCTGCATACAGCATTATGTTTTTTATCTCCCAGATGTGCTCATAGCCCAGTTGTGGCCAGATTTCAATGGTATTTGTTTGGAAATTGGGTCTCCAACTTCCATCGGCTTCTTGCACCCAATTCGGTGTGTTGGTTTTGATTTCGGAAATCCATTTTCTCACGACACATTCAGGCAGTCGCCGAGGCAGTATCTCCATCCTCGAATCTGTATCTATGCATCTGCATCTGTGTCTGAGGCTGTAATGTAAGCATGCATAAATATCACCTGTCTGTCGCTTACCTCCATCCATTCCCAATTGCTGCGTCTGGTCCTCCGCTTCGAACTGTCAACATTGATTTGTTGGCTCTGCGGCCATACTTTGAGATACTTTCAGGCACTTTGCTCCAGGGCCGAGTTCGGTTCCACGGCGGACTTCCATATCATTAGAAACCATTTATCTTGATAAATGTAAATGTTTTACCATATATTTGTGTCAAACGGGCTTCGTCTCATTTGCTTTGCATGCGTTCTCTGAGCGAAGTGATCGGCTCAGGTCTTGGCCGTAAAAGAGTTATGTGCGTGGCTGATAAAGTCGTTAGTCCCCTGATCCTTACCTAAATATATTTTTGAATGGCAGCCAGTTAAATGCAGGAAAAGTAATACGGGCAAACTTCATACAGAATAACACATTCAGCTAGATCCAAAACAAAACTAACAGCTCAGTTTGTATATCAAATAAATATATCAAAATGTTTTTTTCAAGTTCTCGCCCCATTTGTAGTTTGCCTTACAATAGGACAAGAAATCAATAGAGAACCATTTACCAATTATTTGATTGATTGAAATATGTCTTTTAATTGTGAGGATTCCACTTAAAATTAAATTTATTTAGTGGATTGATCTCTATTGATTACTTTAGACTCGTATACATTTTATTTATTTAGTTTGAAGTGTATCAAATGCAACTCCCAATCCATCGATATAAAATATTTATGGTATGGAGATTTTATGATTTAAGTTAATCAATAGAAAGGCTTTTCTAAAATTATATTACCTCTTATTAGTCAGCGTTTTGACCATTTTCCATGCTAGTGGATTTTCATGCCAGTGGTAAATTGCGTACACAAAGGTAGCCAATCAATAGTTAATTGCCAAACCTCGACGGCCCCGACTCTGACTTTTTAAATTGGATATCGTTTGCACATTGAGCGCAGTTCGGGCCAGGCTGATAATTTTTGGAGCCGGGCGTTACCTTTTAATTAACAACATTAACAAAATCGCCACGCCCCAGTCTAGCGCCCCATAAAAGAGAAAAGAGAGGGGGCAAGTCGGGCAATAAATAAAATTTTAAACATCTACCGCCGCTGGCCAGCCGGCACTTAATTACAATTTTCCGCGCTGGCATTTTCCATTTTCCGCCCGCTGCTGGGAGCATTATGTCACTGCACTCACCCCCCGTGTCTCCTCTCGTTCCCAGGTCAGCGATAAATTCCTGGACGCCTACAAGGTGGGCGTAATTTATTGGCCCTGCGTGCAGACGGTGAACTTCGCCTTCGTGCCGGCGCGGAACCAGGTCATATTCACCTCCTTCTTCAGCATGTGTTGGACCACCTTCCTGGCCTACGTCAAGTTCCTCCAGCTGCATCCCCCCGTCGACGTGGACCACCACGCCATGGACATCCACTTCCTGGAGATGTGAGTCCCTACCTAGTTACCCAAAAATGTGATGGAACCAACCAGGGGCGATCCCCTTTGAATGAGTTAATGACATGTTCTTTTGTAAATATTTCTGTGGGCCGCTGGCATTGTATAAATATAGTTGTATGTATGTACGCCCATTTATTTCTTCCTGATAAATAAGTTGTGATAAGTTCGTAGTTGGTGTTTTTCTCAGAACTGAATTGAAATTAGGCGTTATCGTCAATTTCGTTTAAGAATCTCATGGGAGTAGCAATAATAATGGGTGGATGGCTCTTGAGAATCGCAGACTCTGAACCACCAAAAGCGACCTAGACACCATGCACACTTTTGTTTTCACTTATATTTATTGCAAATATACATTCGTACCTAGACAATTTAGTACACATAATATTGAATACTCGGCCAGTGGTTATGCATACATTTGAGTTCATTTGACCTGCATCATCACTTATCAAAATTAATATTTATCACCTGTGCGCTTCTTTTGGCCGGGGGAATCGTGGTCCATTAAAATGCATACGTAACATCTATGCATATTATATACTTGTATATATACTAAGTATCTGTTTGTGTATCTGTGGGTTCGTTGAAGTGGAACCGCTAAGTGGTTGTGCTGAATGCGAGAACGGAATACATAAATAATGCCGATTTAGATTATTCTGAAACAGAAACATCATCGCCGAAGTGTGGTCCGCATTCGGATTTGGACAAAATGCCAGGGAACAGAGCGCAGACGATGACGAGGCCATAATCAGGGGAATTAATATGGAAATGTATGCAGAGCAAAAACGAAACCGCAAAAGTAAACGCAGAACACCAAACTGAACCCGCGAAATCCAAACGCATGTGGGTTCTGTTATCAGGAAGGGAAAACGTGGCGAACTTCCTGCCCAGAGAGGGTGTTCAAGCTGCACAGAGAAAATATACCGATAAAAGTCTCTAATCTAAATTTTAATAAATCAATGCTCACTTCCGTTTTGAAGATTGGATTTAAGGCAAAATAAAATTAAAAATAGATTAAATACTTTAAAAAATGCTTTTATGCTTAACATCCAATGAAGCCAATCTTTTGGAACGTTTAAAGAATTTAATTTGCCAGCATTCATAACGGAAAATAGTTATTTTCCCAATTGTAAAAATTATAAGCGGTTCAAAATCATTTTGTGTTTAACCTGCATGATGACGTATAAGCGCAACTCTTTTTTTTCCGTGCACCGTAGCTGCGAAAAAGCAATTGAAACAAGAGTTTCATTTAATTCTGCGTCGGCTGGCAGGCCAATTTCCTATCCGCCCTGCGCCCATTTCTCAGTGTCTTGCCGGGGTCTTTATGTTGCTGTTTTATAGCGCATTAATTTCGAAAGTAGCGCTACGTGTGCCAAAAATCATTAGCAACGGAATTACGCTCAATGAAATGCAGTCGGCGTCGCCGGCAAACAAAAGCCGTCCGAGGGGAGATAATAAAGCGTGGCCAGGCCGGTCCTCCGTCGATTTCGATGTTGATGTCGATGCCGGAACAGGGAACCCAGAGTTGCCTGCCAGAGGAATTAGCCCTGCGACGGCGCCGGGGAAAAAGGTGGAAAACGGCCGAGGAAGTCGGAATGGAAAAGTCGACAGCCGCCAGTCGGCAGCCGCTTGACGCTAGCGCTTCTGCTGCTTATAAATTTACCCTAACGACAAGTTAAATGCTGAATACGAAATGTTGCAGAGGCAAGGGTTCCTTCCACTCCGAAACCCTCGGAGACATTCGTACACATGCCGGCGAAATTGCCGCCAAGATGTAGCCTTAATGGGCTTAACTTTGAAATTCGAAAATACATATGGATTGGAGGGGGCACGATTTATTAAAGCAAGGAAAGTTAGGAAATCTTAGTCAAGGAATCTATCAACTATTAATTGTGTGAATAATAATACTAACATTAATAGTAACCTAAAACTAGATAATTTAAAATAGACCAAGAAGGTTACTCAAAAGAAAAAACACCCGGTCCTTACCTCACCATATATTCGAATACATTGTGACTACCCCTTTTAATAAAAATGTTTCACTATTAATATTGTGATTATGATTAGGCAAGCTCAAATGGTTTAATGGTTTGATTTAATTAGTAAAACCTAAGGACTCCAATCACGTATCAACTAAACTGTCTGAAACTATATTTGGGAAATTGGTCAACATGCTGCTTATCCGAATCCGGTTCGCATCGATGGTCCCATACCCACAATCTTATCACTGGGGAATCAACCCTTATCAGATAATAGGCGGAACTAATTCGCCTAATGAAATTATGCAAATGGCGTTGGGAGTCAGTTCGATTTGGTCCCGACAGGTGCGAGCACTGCACACTTCTAAAAACATACACACACAGTATGTTCAAGTCCAAGTCCTTTGATTTGGTCAACGAGGAAAGGACGAAGAAACCGGAACGGCTGTATCAGCCCCGCCGGATGCGATGGCTCAAATATATCATCCTGCCGGCCGTGTTCTCCTTTGCGCTTCTTCTGATCCTGGTCAATGTGGATTTCTCCGAGACCAGTGATGAAGTAACTTCTGATTCCACGGATTTGGGCTATAAACATGAGTCGCATTACAACATCTGTGACCAATCCCTCTTCATATCAAGCCATGGATTTGAAAATAACACTCTACAAAGGAGCTTTTTTCCCAGCAGCTGGGAACTGCAAAACTTAACAATAGTGAATTGCACCATAGTTCATATCAGTAATGGAACTTTTGATCAACATAACACCCGTTATCTTATGAACTTGCAACTCATTAATGTGGAACTGGAAAATTTAACAGAATCAGCATTACATGGTCTTCAAAAGCTTCAGAACTTCACCCTAATCAATGGGAATAACCATTTCAAGCCTTTTGGATTCCTTTCAGCTGTGTCTGAGACGATAATTAATGCTAGAATACACCAGTCATTCTACACAGGAACAAGATATGCACTCAGTGATTTCTTGGGATACAACAATTTCACCCACTTGAAATGTTTAGATATGAGCGGAACGAATTTCGGAGGGAGTATTAAATCAGATTCCTTTGAGAATCTCCCCGCTTTGTCACAGCTGATCTTAAAGAACTGTGGCTTAAGCCATATCGAGTGGGACTTTCTACAACCAAGACTTAAATTAGTGCAATACTTAGACTTTAGTGAAAGTCAGAAGGAAAGAGACTATGCTAATGACTCGGAAATATTTGAGTTTACCCCTGACACAACCATTGAGGACGAGGAGAGCTCTACTGTTCAGTTCGAAAGAGCCGCTGGTCCACCCTTTGCACCCGCGACAACAAATTCAACATCAGCCCCTACCACAGTAGAATCAACAGTAACAATATTTTCATCCACACTACAATCAATAACAACATCACCCACACAAGATATAACGGCTGATCCATCAACTGAACCATCAACGTTATCTACGATGACAACACCACGATCGAATTGCGAGGAGGAACTTTGCCAAGAACTCGTATGCTCTCGTATCTCAGCGGACTCAACGATTGGATATGCAGATCTGGAAAGTTCGGCAAGTTGTAAGGATGGTATACTTGTGGAGGTCTGCGAATCGGACTGCACAGTACCCACCTACTTCTGTGGACTATTGGGCGACAATTTTACCTTCCCATCCAACTGTTGTTCTCATTTTACCATGAGATGTGTGGTTTCCTCAAAAGCGTCCTGGTTCGATGATCACAGCGGCCTTATAATTGGACTGGGAATAGGACTCCTTTTTGGTGGCAGCCTTCTCGGTATGCTCATTGCTTACGGAGCTATACGACTGTTTAAGAAAAGTAAGCGGCGGGAATCCAACACGATGGGTCTAATTCCCCGGAGATTCGAAAAGGACCTGAATGACTATGCGGGGTAAGTTTTCATATAAAAACAAGGAAGAACGCTACAGTCGAGTACCTCGACTATCAGATACCCGTTATTCAGCTAAAGGAACTAAAGGGATTTAAGATTTAAGCGTTATGGGCGTTAGAGTGGGCGTGGCAAATTTGGATCAATCGATAGGTATTGACAAGACCAATACATTTCAGTTAAAATTTTTGATCTAGCATGAAAATTGTGGGCGCCACAGGTTTGGGCGGTTTGTGGGCGTTAGAGTGGGCGTGGCATATTCGCATAACAAATTTGCGCTGCGTGCAAGGCTACTGAATCTAAATCTGAGATATCCGAGATACCCACGTTCATATCTACGATTTTTTGAGGTTTGTGGGCGGTTTGTGGGCGTTAAAGTGGGCGTGGCAAACTTTTTTGGGTCAATCGATAGGTATTGACGAGAACAATACATTTCAGTTAAAATTTTTATTCTAGCATCAAAACTGTAGGAGCCACAGTTTCGGGCGGTTTGTGGGCGTTAGAGTGCGCGTGGCACTCTGCTGAAATAAACTTGCGCTGCGCAGGAATCTCAGGAATCTGCATGCCTCATCCTAGTATTGTAGCTTGTATAGTTTCCGAGATCTCAGCGTTCATACGGACAGACGGAAAGACGGGCAGACGGACATGGCTAGATCGACTCGGCTAGTAATCCTGATCAAGAATATGTGTACTTTATGGGGTCGGAAACGCTTCCTTCTGCCTGTTACATACTTTCCTTTTTACTCTACGAGTAACGGGTATAATAACTACTGCAATATAGCTATTTATAATCATGAATATTATTGCCACATTATCGCTTTACACATTGTTTTTAGGGACAAAAAAGACTGAAAGATAATATAATCTAATCTGTAATATTTCATACAAACGAAAAACATTTCCTTCCTTGACAATTAAATTAGGGGAGTGTAGGGTATAGTAACAAAATATTCGTTTTTCATGTAACTTTTCAAAATTCAATATTTCTTAAAAGCTTAAAATTAAATTAATAAAATAAAATAAAAATAAAAAAAGTTAAAAAATACTTCTATTCTAATACTTTTTTAAAGTAGAACTAAGTTTAATCAATAAACATACCATGCGCGGATCCATGAGTTGAAAGACCCCCACTCGGGTTAAAAACTATATTTAATATGTATTTTATTCAACAATTTGTATTTATACTTGACTAATTTTGTATATTCTGGATCCGCCACTGAAACCTACTGAAAATATTATAGATGTAAATATCTTTCCCATTTTTTTCCTCTGAGATTTTTTACAACGGTCTAAGTTTAATCAAAAATCTTCATGGGGTTGATGATATGTTTGATTGAAGTAAAAGCTCTAGTTTTAAAAAAAACCTAGGTTGAGGTTCAAGAAGTTTAGGTTTTTACATGGCTTAACAAAGGTTTAAAAACACCAAACTTTCAATTTGTCTTCCAATAGGGGTCCGATTTCGACTCTCGACGACAGCGAATATGTCATTGCTTATCACCGTTACTTGGAACAAGCGAACCACCGTCACACGGAGACCAATAAGTACATATATCCACCCAGGGATAGGGCGCCTTCGGTTCCACCCTCCTGTGATTACCCCCTACCGCTCCCGGCAAGAAATAACTACATATACGAGAGCTGTGAGCTGTATGAGGAACTTCCATAAATTAATTTATAATATAGATATGCATTACATTCATCCTTATACCAAGAACCAGAACATAATTAAATATTGATTATTTTTATAAGAAAAAGCTGTATAAACGAATGACGAATTTAAAAATGTGTTCTCGTAATGGCAAACCAATTTTAATTCAAATAAATTTACATAACGATAAAAAGTGTCAATACGTAGGTACAGGCTAGCTTCCACATCTTGAACTAACTTTGAAGACTAAATAAATTTTATTACTCGACGGAAAGACATTTGAGGTACTTTTATGTTTTAAAACTCTTTGGTGATCTGAAATATTATGTTCCAATAATAGGAAAAACAGAACTGAAGTCGTGCAGCTTGAGTTATGAGTGCTTCACATGGGGATGATGACATACCAATTCTACTTGTTTGTTCTGCTTCGCATCTTGTGATAGAACCCAGCCCCTTGTCTGGGTTCTGTGGAAGTTTGCACAGTTCAATGCTTTTATTTAGCTTTAATGAGCTCAAGTTGACGATGAAGGCGAAAAAACTCCATCTCAATGCGCCCCATTGTGGAAACAGCTTCTATCCCGGCACTTGCCCTTCCGCGGGACCCAGAGATGTACATGCACAATAAAATATTTTTGTAAGCACTTTTTATGGCTGACATATCTTTTAATATACACACAAGCACCGAGATCTTTTTTGCGAGCGTTTTGCCAATTTATTTTCGCCCCTGTTCCAGTTTGGGTATTTGTTTTTTCTTTTTGGTGCCCTGCAGGCTGTCGCTGCCATAATTTCCCAGGCACATCCCATCCCCGTTTCCAGACCGACGAAGGGACGGGGTCGCTGTCAAAGTCCGGCCAAGTCTCTCGGCCATATGTTGCACACATTATGCTTACTTAACAATTAGAGACGCTCTTGTAATTCCACAAAATTGCTTTGTTCGCCTGGATTTTTTGCTCCGGGGAAAGCGGGCGACTTCGGGGGAGGTACTCTTCTATATGCCACATACACAGAGGGGCTCTGTGCGGAGGGTGAGAAGGGGAAGGAAGTGCCGCAGAGTGGCTTTTGTGCTTCAGCTTGTTCAGAACTCTTTGGTCACTGAGCTGTGAATCGTTATGAGCTTTAAATCCGAGGAAAATGCTTTGATAACCAGGCTGCTGTGTGTGGGAACCGAAACTAGTTAGGGGTGAAGCCAGGGGAAGTGAGAGCCAGCTGAATTTTCCGAAGCCCCAACTCACCTTTGAAAGCTCGAAGAAAATTAGTGTGTCTTGTTATACGTATCAGCAAACTCAAGAAATTGTTTTCGATAACAAAAAGGGAAGAATGACCTGCACTCTGTTTGTAAAAATCCATTACTAAACATATATTACTTCTGCTTCTGATATTTCTTGGCTCTCGTTACAAAGGGCACGCCCTTGTTTTAGTAGGAAATACATCCATTTTAAGATTCATTAAAGTCGAATACATATATAGGTAGAAAATAGCAGAAATGTACATTTCGGCATCCCTTGTTGCTAAACTTTAATGGAATATCTACTTTCGAAGTGTCAAGGAATCTTTGAAAGTACTCGTAACAAAAAGTATGGTCTGCAAGTAATTTTAACTCTTGTCAGCTGGCTTGTGAAGTCCCAAAAACTATTCCATTGAGCGATTAGATCGTCGTGCGTACACAACTTTCGAGTGCAGATTCTACGTTCCCAGAAGACGAAGCCCTGCCAACAACCCCCTATGTACACTTCACTGGTGACGGAAAGAAAAGACCTGGGTTTCTATCATCTCAAGTGTGAGACGACTGAAACCCTAGACGAAGTCACAGCCGACTGCATCTGGACAATCCCACATGTGGGCAAATGGATCGATACGAGTATCTGTCGCGATTGATATTAATGATTGGCCGCAAATGCCATTAGGCTGTTTGTACCTTTCCATCACGCCGAACACGATAACTCAGCGTGAAGAGAGCGCAGAGCCGGAAAAGTGGGAAAACTGGGAAACTCTCCGATTGCATGGCCGAGGCGGAGGCGTTGCTCCAGACAGATACGAGCAAATCTACCCTGGCAGGGAAGCCCCATTGTTCGGGCGAGGAAATCAAAGACCCTTTGCCCATTTTCCATTTCCCCGCTGATAACGGACACGAACCAACGGCCCCGTAACGTGGCATTTGTTTAATGGATTAAAAATAATGGGCAGAGGGAAGGGCGGGCTGGGTGCAGATAAAAATCGTAGCACGTTTTGTATGCGCATGGAAAATGGAAAATGTGCCGCGGCGTGTCATAAATTAATTTTTGTAAATTCTGCAGCCTGTCTGATTCGGTTGCGGATCAGTATCGGCTTTAGCCGGGCCCCGAGACAGGGATTCTTATTAATAATAATAATGCCACACGGCTTTGATAGACAGACAAAGGATTTCCCCGGATGCGAAACCACTTTCATTTCGAGGCCTTCAAGGGTTGAAATGGAAAGCCTTTCAACTGCGGTTGGCGGCCGGAGAAGCTTTTAAAAAATTATGCAAAAATCATGATTAGGCAATTTGCCGATGCTGGAGTCTGGTTTTTGTCTCCCGGCTGCTAATTAGCCATTCATGGAGTGTAGTGCGCCTGCCTGGGGAATATTTAAACAGTTGGCTGGTTCCCAGAAAACGGCGGCAAAAGTTTAATTAGTCCGGCGGATGAATGTGCCTTGTGAATATGAAATCCGCCCACAAATCTATTCAGCCCCGATCAGACGCACTCGTATCCTTGAGACTTCAGGTCGGTTCGGCTGAGTTGAGTTGCGACTAATGAGCCCGAGCAGAACCAACCAGAAACAGAAACAGAACAGAAACAGCACACAAAATGTAGCAATTATGGGGCGGGACGGAGAAAAACTCACATTAATGACAAAAGCCAGAAAAGTACTCGGCGCATGAGGAGAGGCTGCTTAAGACCCGCAACAAACGAGGGGCACTTAAAAGATGAAACATAAAACGGAGCCCCAGAAGCCCATAAAAAACACATTGTGCCGGGCCGCACTTGAAAGGCAACTTCTTACGATGCCCGCCCGTCTTGTACGTCCACTGAGAAAAAGTGTGATGAGTTATTTACCCATCTCTGATACCAAATTTGGGACGATGTTTAGGTAAAGGAATATATATTCATTCTGTGGTAAACCGTTGCACAATCCTTATACCTAATATTCATAGCTTCAGTGTTATTCATACATATGCGGTGGTTTACGATTAGGCAACCCTTTTTATTCCCAGTGGGATTTATCATAGTTGTGAAACTATTCAAATTTACATTGCATTCATGCCCTCAACATCAAGGCTTTTAAAATATATCAAAATAACTTAAAGACCGTTTACATATTTGACTTTCTAATTTTTCTAAAAGTGTTAATATCATTTACTTTATAACTTTATGTTTTGGGTTTCCAGTTCGTTTATGAGTATTCCAGTTGTAATATTTTTATTCAAACCTTATTTCTAACTATTTTCGTACCTCATTTCATTTTCAGATCAGGATAGAATGATTAAATATCCCATTTAACCCGTGCTAAAATTCCCTCGGTGTAGCCTTGTCATATGGGGCATTTGCTTTGTGCTCTGTGGAAAGGGCTGCCATGAAATTGCATCATAAAAATAAAAATTAAACCACTAAACGCAGTCCAAACGCGACCGCCTTGCGTCCAGACGCTGACTTTTAAGTTTGCCCTCCCGGATTGATTTGACTTTGAGCTGGCTGACAGTTCGGGAATCGACCCCAAGGGCAGGACCTCACGTTCGGCAGAGATAAGGGTGGGGGTGGGGTGTGCGTACGAGTACCCCTAATGATATTCAATAATAATACATGCGCATAAAAACCACTTGCGACCCTCCGCCCGAAAGTCGTCAACAGTTCAGACATGCCCCGGCTGTGCCTTCAGAATTTAATGTGCTTATAATGCCGCCCGCTGGCTTCCGCCGTAAACAGATGCAGTCCTCACTCCCGGATAGTCCCCGTGCCCGTCCGAACCCAGTCCCAATCCCAATCCCAATCCCGATTCCGATGCCAGTTCCAATTCGAATCGGATACGGCACACACGCAGCCGCACTCCACTCACGTAATTGCGAGAGCAGCACCCTCGACACATTTTTAACAGCAAATGATGTCAATTTCCATGCCCGCCAAGGGCAGGAAAATTCCCCAGATGGAATCCGAGGGGATGCGTTCTGAAAATGCTGAGCGCGTTTTGTTATTCTATCGAAAATTGAACTTAATTGGTGCGTGAAGTGTGCACTGAGTGGATTTGATGGCTGCCAGGCAACTATTGTAGTACGGCTGCAAATTTGTCTGCAGCGGCGTTCTATTCCGCTCCCCCATCTGAAACGCCTCCACCAGGCCTCATTATAATTTGCCAGTCAACAGGCAAAGGTAGCGATCAAATGGGACAGCCGAAACACGAGGGCGGGACCTGAATATTACTACAAAGTATTACCAAAAACATTACGTACTATTTTGTGTTTGCATTATACAAACTGATTAGAAAATGTGAATGGAATTCATAGTATAAGAACCAAGTGACAATTCTGTAAGGAATTACGTAAGCTAACGTGGCAAATCGTAGTAATTGTTACCCACATGTTAGGACCTTTATTATAGGCCGCTGCACCGGATCCGGAACTTATTGGCAAACGAAGCCAACCCTTTCGGCCGTAGGTGAGCGGAGCTGTCTGTGTAATCTCATCATGCCCGACAATCAAATTAATTTGCCATGCCCCAGTTTGCCACGAAATGGCCGAACAACCCTCGGGGCCAAATCCAGAAGGACAGACATCCAGGGCTCTGGGCTTCGGGGCTCCAGGGCATGGCATCCAAGCTGATTAGCATAAATTCGTCTATTTCGTTGCTGGCAACGTTGTCGTCTTTTGTCAACGTGTCTGGCATGCCAAGCTGAAAAACTTTGCCAGTTTCCCAGCTGCCAGAAGGTGAGGGAAACTCAAACAAGGCGGGGCAGCGGGAAAAGGAGCAGCCGCTGCAAAGGAGCAGGAGCAGGAGCAGTAGCAGGAGCAGTCACGGACCTCGGCTGGGAAACATGTGTCACTGGGGCCTGTCTGCTTATTGCACGACTAATGTCACTCGCAGGCGGAGGCAGTCAACAAAAGGTGGCCAAGGCAAACTTCCTGGCACAAAGACTGGCTTTTAGACGGCAAATGCAAGTGCTGGAATTCCTTGGCCTGTCCGGGGGATGCGAAATTATTTCCAAGCCACTGACGTGGCTGGG